TTTTTTTTTCCGTAAATAATTTCATCAGGTTGGAAGATACTTTGGGTATAGAATTTTCTTCTTACACAACCAGTAAGGTTCTCACTGCAAAAGCGCCACCTACTTTGGTGATAAATAGCGGCGAGTTGCAGAACTCCAGTCAGAAGCTCTGAGGAAGGTGTCTGATAGACACCGAAACATAAGCAGCTGAGAACCTTACTGGTTGTGTAAGAAGAAAATTCTATACCCTAAGACTTCAGAACTCTTTCCTGCATCAGTCCATCAGACTCCATAATCAGACTGTATAATCAGGATCATGGTACTTCTGTTATGTTACTACTTGTTATGTCTGGGATGTACATAATAGAAGTACGTATAATTTATATCAACAACATCATTCAGGCAACATTATTATCAATATGTATGTCTGAAATGTAGATAATGGAAATAAAGAATTTGAACAAAGTGGGCTTGTGATCAGACAGACGACTTACAAAGGAGGCAATTATAGAGAGAGAAGGGGAAATAACACAGACAAGGATCTGCCACATCGAATGTCAGCAAGACAACACCAGGCATGTTACAGGGGATAGAAAATCAAAACTACAGTCCCTGAACAGTAACAGTTCAGTCGTAAAGAAGTCAGCCCAGATCCTGACAAAACAAACAGGTGCAACAACCAGGACTTTCCCATCTACTGCCAGCCGGAAAAAAACAAGGAAATGATCATCAAGGACTAAACACAGAAAAATGCTTGAACAGCACAAAAAGCTGCAGAATGTCTGCTTAGATTGGTCTGAAACAAAGAAGAATTGATGTAGAAGATACGATGTACACTTGGGAAACATCCAGAAATTCCTCAGGGAAATCTGGAAATAAAAACATTGTTCTTCTACTGTTTCTCTTCAAGGACATCTGCGGACACACCTGTGGACACACCTGTGGTACAGGTGTGATGACCGTGTGGATGGACAGGTGTGACGTTGGAAGGTGAACTTGTAGATGAATGAGGTACTAACACCTGCACTGACCTCAGATCACCCCACCAGTGAGTGTATGAAGTGTAAAGCCCCTTTTTATTTCACTCCATACTTCAGTATGGAGTGAAATACTGTTTTTACTGATGATTCTTCTTCTTCTTCTTCTTCTCCTCCTCCTGCCACTTTTTTAAATTGATTCAACTCCTTCATTTTTGGGCGAAATGACCTGAAATTTCGTATAGAGGTAGCGTGGGTAAATACCCCTAGGCGTTTTTTAAATTTTTTTGATACAAGCTTTTACAATCGTTTTATTTGCTTTTTTAGCGGTCCCCATAGGAAAGTACTGTGCGGGGGCGTACGCGCGTGACGTAATAAGCGTGGCGGCATGCCCATATATGGGCATGCAAGCATGAACCTGACGCAGCCTAATCTTTTCTTCTTGCTGATTGGCTGTTGGATTTGATTGGATTAACTCAATTAACACCTGTTCAAAGCCATTCCATTTTGACAGTATGAACTCAAGTGTTTTGGTAGGTACAGCACAGGCCACGAAATACGCATCAATTTTCGAGGGACGTTCTGCGGAGAGTGCAGGACGCTGTGCGGGACTTCCCTCGGGAGAGTGCGGGACGTCCTCCGGGAGAGTGCGATACGTTCTGCGGGAGAGTGCGGTACGTCCAGCGGGAGAGTGCGGTACGTTCTGCGGGAGCCAGACATTTTGCTCTTCTCTGTTGGAACAACGCAAGTTGGAGGTCAATGACCTGCGCCCGGCGTGTAAACAAGATTGGACAGGGAGCGGCTGTAATATCAAAGGAGCCGGCGGCTTCTGCTAGCCGGGTTGATAGTTAAGTAACATCAAGGTGGTTCAAAAGCAAACCTGATAAAGAAGGAAACCCCGTAGTTAATAGTTGAAAGTCTTGGTGGCTTGAGGCGATCGATACCGCCATGCTGTTTACTTTATATGACATACAATGCAGTGAGTGATGTGTATCGCAACGAGTTAGCTCGGTTGGTAACGCGCCAGACGGCAATCCCAGAAATTGTGAGTTCGAACCCCAGTGCATCGGATATTAACATTTTAAACAATTTTATCATTTTTAACAATTTTATCAGTTTTAACAATTTTATCAGTTTTAACAATTTTAACAATCCTGCATTTTAACAATTTCAACATTTTTTTTTTTGATTTTCGTTGTTTTGTCTTTTAACATTCAAAAAACTGATTGTTCTTACTCAAGAATGTCAATAACTTAGAATGTTAGTCTTTTGTATTTTTCCAACATACAAACCAAAATCACTTTGATGTTGTCACAAAAGTATGGAGCTGACAAGAGAGAATGAGTACGGTACTCTGCCAGTGTGAAGAATCTACAGAGGTATTACCAGTCACTAGTAGCAAGAGATAGACCACATTGAATGATGACGATGAGGACGAATCATATGGAGTACTATCATAGCTTAGTACAGAAATTCTACTGCTTTACTTTACTTTACTTTCTTTCACTCTGTACATGCAATTAGCTCACTGGCATGATTTTAAAAATAAAGGTTATGATAATCATATTATATGTATAGCTTATTCAATGTATGGCTTCATAGTTTATGTGATTGTTAATAAGGCCATGTTGATTTGATTGTATGGATGGCATCTGTGTGCGCATCGGTTTTCGTTAATTTAAAACTAAGTTTACGACATTCATACAAAACATCTGGAAACTAAGCAAACATACTCTGTAAATTGATTACTGTAATTCCCGATTTTTTTTTCACTGTACCGCAACGTAACGCAAGCAGGAGGTCAATGTTCACGGTTTTCACTGTCACCTCTGTACCGTGAACTTATCTTTACAGTTAGGAAATAATTCCTGGACTTTCTTTTTCCTGCAACTGTCACCACCGTGAATATATAGTTCCGTGAACATGTCCATGTTTCTCAGACCGTGAAAATTTTGCTACCGTTAGTAGTAGTTGCAATTTCGTCATTAGTAGTATTTAGATACCTGCAATATGTAACTTTGAAATTGAGATAAGTGTAAAGTAAAGCTAGTCGAGATTTAAAGTGCTTGTCGTTGTATCTTTGTAAAAAAAAGGGAGATAATGGCCAAGTGCCATTTTTTGTAAATATCTGTCGAGATTCAAAAAGCTTGTCCTTGTATGATTGCAGTATGATTTATTCAGAATCTTCTATTTTTGTATGGGGAGGGAGATGGAGTGAAATATTACATTTGCTCCGAAGCAAATGTTGGCCTTTCTAGTTAAAATTTTTTTCTTTAAACCATAAAATGTAGTAAGATATCTGCCTGCTGGTTGCTTTTGATTGAGGTCATGAGAAGGGTAGAGGTATGTGTCAAGACATCTCAGCCAAATTTCTAAACCAATGTGTCAACCCTGATGGACAAAATTGACAAAAATCTGCGGTAAAAAAAAAAAAACAATCAAAGGACCACCACCACCAACCACCCTCAACCCATGATATGCATGATTTGCCTCTCAAAATGTGGGAAATTCTTAAAAGCTAGAAAATCCAAAATTTGTCCCTAGATTGTGAGCACCTTTCCCCCAGGTCCGATCATGGACCTGGGCTGACAATAAAAGATTTGGAGTTGGCTATAGCCCTGGTACAGACACAAGTCTTCTCATGCAATGAAACCAGCACCGAAACAAACTGTAGAGGCATCAGAGTTTAATGTGTGCCTCACCAGCGTTACAGACACGAGTCTTCCCCGTGATTCAGCACCGTGAACCCTGTTAACCTCCTCCCTTCTCCCCGACTCCCCATTCCCACAGCACAAAGGCCCGGAACGAGCCCAGATTCCCAGGAATTCATTCCTCGCCAGCCCAGCCGACGAGGGGTCGGGGGTCAACGGCACGGAGGCGCGACACTACATGATGAGGTCGTCATTAAGGGAATTATGGGTAGCAGTGTGGCAGGCGGGCTGTTCACTACAAGTGACAGGTGTCAAGGTCACGGTCCGACCTTCACACACCTGCCCGCGGTCGGTTTTGTCCCTTTGTTCGCAGATCGTTTTGTTGTAGGTTTTAACGAACCAATCAATCAATCAAGTCCCAAAGAACCAATCAGTCCTCTCCCGAGAGTGTTTTTTACTTCTTGGACAAAGCTGAGTTTGCCACAGGTGTGTAGAAGTATGTACTAGGGTGAAGGGAGATGTTGTAATATCTCCATAGGAGTCAGTTTGCAAATATCGGATCTTTCTTGTTCTTATAGTATGAATCTTGTCTGATTTGGAACCTTATTTGCATCATTAACAAACTACAATTAGACAAGATATTAAAGGACCTATAGATACATACATGTATACAATATTTCACAACTAATTACTATAACTATGAGATCTTCGAACTTTTGTGCCATTTATTAATAATAATTGTTCACGTGCGTGATCTATTATTTCTGGCATATGAAACCCAACAGCTTTCTGTCATTTGAATCATCTGCTATATTTCTATTGGAGAGTTCAATTGTTGATCATTGATTAAAATGGCAAAACACAGGAAAATTGTCTATATAGATAGAGACAAAACACACCAACCCTGACCGCCCCCCCCTCCCCCGGTAATCAGTCAGCCGTCTAGCATCATACAAACGACCTGTTACTGCAAGGTCAGGGTCTCTGTCCAGCCGTCAGGGGTCAGGGCAAAGGTCAGAGGGCAAACACGGTTACTGTCAGTCCCACTGGAGGGGTGAACTGCACTGATTCATGGAGGGAAAACTACTTCAAACACCAACTCACAGATTTCATAGTCACACCTCCCTGAAGTATCTGGAGTTGTGAATTTCTTGTTTTATGTCTTATTGTGAGTTTCTCGCTTATCCTGTGCATATTTCACGGACACACAAGCAAGCAAACAGACAAACATTGAAAGCAAAACCTCGATATACACAGAGCTAAAACTCCACCCAACAGCCCCTATTTCTCTTTGTTATAATGCCCTACAGAAGGAACAAAAATCATATTTTGTATCATGTTCCAACAGAGAACATATCCTACAGCATTACATTGTATGTAATGACATTATTACCTTGTCAGGTGCCACCTTGTGGGAGAAAGGGCAGTCATTCACCGGACACGTTCCACGTAAGAACCTGCAACATAACAAGACACAGGTTAGCCTTCAGTCAGCTAAGGTGGCCGTTTGGCACCAAATATATACTGGTTACTGGCTAAGGCTGCCGGAAGAAGTACATGTACAGTACAGTATCAGTGTTATCATCCAAGTATTGAGGTGTTCCAAAACTCATATTTTCCTAAAGAATGGAACTCGTTGCCACCAAGTACAGTTGGGGCATCATCACTAGAAAGCTTTAAACAACTCATCTAGTCATCTGGTGTAAACATAGCTAGCTGCTGTCGCACAGCGTGTCTGCGGCCAGCGTGTCACACCGATGGGTGGTTATACTGGACATACCAATACATGTACAGTACATTTTGATGTGTCACTAGACACACTGGTACACACAGTGCCAGTAACTTCTACCAAACAGACTACTGTTTCTAGTTCCACATGCTTGAAGGGATGTTATAGGAAGAACAAAAGGAGGTTAACTAGCAGTTGTTGAACACCACCATTTCTAGACATTCCATAGTCATATTTTGTTCCTCTTACATTACAACAGTAGAAAGTAGATATAGCTAGTAGTCTAGAACACGTACATGTATGTAAACATGTAATACACGTATGTGCTATGATATAGATGTATGTATTTGTGTTCATCTTTAGTCTCGGTTGCTCAACCCAAACCTCCCACCACAGGTTTGCCACACCACAGGATAACCAGTTCTACCACTGACTGATCCTGATAGATGTAGATGTAGCTAGTATGTACATGTTGTAGTATACTTGTATGTGTTATGAAGTCTGTTGCCCAACCCAAGCATCCTGCCACAGGTTTGCCACACCACAGGATAACCAGTTCTGCCACTGATTGATCCGGATATCCACAGCCGTAACTCACTTCTCATAACTGCCCCGGGACAGAGCTGTTTGTCAGCTGAGTGCCCCGGGAAGGAGTCGTTTATCAGCCGGCCGGTTGGTTTGAGGGATCGCCGTGCCTGCATGACGGTTGGTTTGAGGGATCGCCATGCCCGTGTGACGGATTTGTCGGGCGATGCGGGAGTAAGCCGGGCTGAGCCGGGGCCAGGTCTGATACATGCATCAACATGGACGACATCTGCCAAGTGCTGCTGACGGGCTGCAGCCGGCATAGACTGGCAGTCAGGCGTGCGGGTACACACACAGGCACACACACAAATAGGCACACACACAGACACACACACAAACACACAAGGACGACACTTGCCAAGTGCTGCTGACAGGCTGCAGCATAGACTGGCAGTCAGGCATGCAGTCAGGTACACACACACACATGTACATGCACTCACACGGGCTGGGTGGTGATTCATTATCTGTATGTACAATGTACAAGCACGCATGCACGCACACACACACTCACACAAGCACCCTCTTGACAAGCATGCATGCACAAACACACTCACACAAGCACCCTCTTGACAAGCATGCATGCACAAACACACTCACACAAGCACCCTCTTGACAAGCATGCATGCACAAACACACAGTTACATACACACACACACACACAGGCACACACACACACACACAGGCACACACACACATACACACACATACACACATACATGTACACACACACACTCACGGTGGATGGGTTTGGTGATTCATAGCCTAAACTGTATGTTTGCCTCTGATAAATTAATGAGGAGTTTGATCAGGAAACAATAAACTTTAAAACATTAAAAGATGTACTGTATACACTGAAAATAAGATGACAGTTAACAGTAACTGTCAAACAGACACAGCTTATAATTAATTAGCCAGAACATAGTTTCTCCCATGACCTGTACATGTACCATCACTGCTGACCCTGGGCTGAGTTTTCCCCCATCTATATCCATCCCTGTATCACCAGTTCTGAGTCGTGCTAAGTGCAGATCACTCCCAACAATGGCTCCAATCTCAGCACCATTACACCAGCCATTAACATATTTCTCCTGCCCTGCTGTAATGCCCAAACGTTCGGGTATTAAAACTAAAGGCCTAGGAAAAAAATGTTGTGTTTCCTGTTTCCTGACCGACCCTAGAAAAAAATGACGACCCTAGACTTTTTTTGTGTGGACATACATTTTTTGACAAGGGACAGAAATTTTTTGAGCTGATCAACCTTTTCTACAATGTAGCTCCATGATCTAACACCTGAGTGATGAAATTGGTTTTCCAACATTGACACAGCATTGACGTTGAAAATATAAGTGACCTTATGCGTTTTACTTTGTTAAACTGTATTGTACAAGTTGGATCACTAGAGATTGCCCTTTTCTAAAAAAAAGAAAAGAAAAAAAAAAGATAATCCCTACCTACTGACCCTAATTTTTTCAGGACTGAAACAGGAAACACAGCATTTTTTCCCTAGGCCTAAGAAAGTGTTGTACAGTAATGAAGGAAACACCAGGTTCTCCCATACAGGCACACATAAAGATGGATCGGGAGGGAGTGCAGGTATTGAGCCGGGCGGACGGGCGGGCTTACCAGGGCTTGGGTTGGACCAATTACTGCCTTGTCTGATGACGGACTAACTTCATCACACCTGTTCTCACACCTGTATGTTCTCACCTGTACACACACCTGTACACACCTGTACCAGATGAGACCAGAGGTAACACTGTCTAGCAGGGTTTGATATCAATGGTTTAGTTGATCAAAACACAGTTTCCACAAGGGCAGCCAATAGGTTGTTGGGCCATAATGTAGAGTTAAAATCATATCATGATACAAAGTACAGTATAATTTTAACAGTTACATTTTGCAAAACAGTACCTGGTACAGTGTAACATTATGAAAATAAAGTCATCAACATTAAACCATAGTACTGAAAGGAAGTGTTGTTTTGAGAGAAGTGCTTCAGCAGGACATTTTTGCAGGGCTGAATTTACGTGCCCAGGTGCCGATATTGGACAGCCGGTACTTACTACACGGGCCAACGTTACATTAACTATTGACCAAACTTATAAGGCACGGCCACTAAGACTTAAGTAGGTGCTTTCATGCTCCTAATTGTGCCTTTAAGATATATTCTCATTCTCAGGTTTATTGAACAATATCGACGGTATCGCAGATGACATTAATACTGACCTTCACCTCACCAAAACTCAACTTTTTCCTGAATTGTTTTTAGCGGAAATAATTTTTCTTAGACATAACTTTGATACCATTGAAAACTGACAAAAAGGGACATAAGGGAGATGTGTTTACAGAAAAGTTGTCAAGAATCTATGACAAAACACCAGGTCCTGTTTCACCCATTAAAAAATCCCCACAGCCTAGAATGTAAGACTAGTCACACAACAGTTACAGCTATATCCACTGCAGGGATCCACTGCTCCTGGATATTACTATTACATGTAGCTGTGTACAAAAACCTATCAATAATTTATATGACACCTGTTTCCACCAGAAATTTCTTTATTTCAAATCCCCACAGTTCAGAGCAGTACTATCTTGTGCCAAGAGAAGCTGAGCTCTGGGACTCCAGGTGTGTATAAAAACTTCTCAAATCTATAAGACGAAACAATTATTTTTCACAGGTAGTTGAGAACTCCCCACAGCCCAGAACAGGCCTTGTCACAGACAGTACTATCTGTGTCCACACCTGCCTAGATCAGAGCCAGTGTGAAGACAGATGCCTGGCCTGTCTGGGGTATTGACTGGGATATTGACTGTGTACAGAAACTTGTCAAGAATCTTTATGACAAAACAACCGTTTTCCACAAAAAGTCCCCACAGTCTAGAACAAAGGCCTTGTCCCTGACAGTAACTGTCTCCTGCCCAGTTCAGAGCCTGTGTGAAGACAGATGCCTGGCCTGTCCGGGATATTGACTGGGATATTGACTGCCATGTTCACTAAGCCGTCAGGATTGTCCCGGCCCGTGTTCCATGTTCCTGCTGTTGTAGGGAACTATTAAAACCATCCTTCTACTTCAGGAGCTGCAGGGTGGGACACCAATCTTACATGCTGCTGGGGGGGGGGGGGCATGTTGGGTACAACAAGCATAGAGAGATATTGAACCAGAAAACCACACAAAACACAAAACTAGAACTAACTGTTGCTGGAAACTACTAAAACCATCCTTCTACTTCAACTGCTGCAGAGTGGGACACCAATCTCACCTGCAGCTTTGGGGGGGGTGTTGTAAGTTAGGACATTGGTAACATGCTGGAGTATGAAAAGCACTGCGAAATGCTGAACTAGGAAAGCAGCCAGAAATATAGAACTAGAAAAGTGACCAAAGATGTTCCACTGGAAAAGGCATCAAGAGATGCTGACTGAAGTAGAAATAAACCCTTGAGTCTCTGTCACTAACGGTGAAGGAAATGTTAGGCATGTAGTCATACAAATGAACTTGCCATCAATTGACTCTAAGCTTTCACAATTCATTGTTTTGGATTGTCAGAGAAACAAGTTACTATATTAGACTGGCCTGTTGGTAGAAAGTACCTGTTCAGGAGTGAGAATTTCCAACTCCACAGGAAACACTGCGTCATTAATCTAAGGAAAGAACAGACCAGTTTTCACATGACTGTTCCACCCCTCACTAACAACAGCCGTTTCAGCACCACAGACAGACCAGATGTACTCATGTCTAAACTACTAGTAACACTGTGTAAAGACTGCTTAATTCATCAATCCTAAGGTAAGAACAGACCAGTTTTCACATGACTGCTCCACCCCTCACTAACAGCATTCATTTCAGCACCACACACAGACCCAATGTACTCATGAACTGGACATTCAGGATTCCTCACAGACCACAGGAAGAATAGCTACTGTCATCTACATGTATGCTAAATGTGAATCCTAATGAAGCCAAAGTCAAATATGTAAAATACTTGGGTTTCATTGATGATGAAAAAAATACTTTTATGTTCTATCAAAGAATAATTAAGAAATCCACTGTACTTGAAACTGAACATGTTAGCAGTAGGAGTAAAAACATGTTTCAGGCCACAGACTTGCAACAAAGAAAACAACAACTTCTGCTTGATTAGAAT